ATATATATAGCAAATATATACATGACAGTGGGACATACAGGGGCAAAGTTATGAAAACTTAACCATATCCAAACACCTTGAGAGACTGAGTTGCTGAGCCTGGGTCTCAGGGCCATAGGCCCAGGGAGCATCATGGTCAATTGGCAAAACATAGTCCTTAAAGAAAATGTTCTACATCGCATTTTGGAGAGTAGCAAGTGGGGTCTTAAAAGCTTGGGAGCTGCCACCTAAGGTGTAGCTATTGGTCTCTCTCTGTTTTGAGCAAAGAGAAGTATAACAGATCAAAGACACATGCAAACAATTAGTTCAAAGACTAATGGGCCATGGAAACCTCTGCCTCCTAGACCCTGAGACCAGAATAACAAGATGGTGACTGGCTACCACTACTGAAAGCTCTGCCTTTCACTCCAATGTGAAATGGATCACATTAGAAGGTCCTGGTAAAGTGGAAGAAAAATGTGGAGCAAAACTCAAAATCATAAAAAAGGACGAAGCTCTCTGGTTGGATACAGAGAAGGGGAACCCCTGAGACTACGGTCGTCCTTCAAGCCTGCCACTACTCTCATCCCTTGAGTGAGGATCAGCTTTGTACCAAGCCACAGATAGTTTTATAATCAGACCAGTAAGTACTGGGAGTTATGCATTGCTGAGGACAATCAACCACAGGACATTAAAAGGGCAACCTTTCCCCAGGGACAAAATTCAAACAGCAGGAAAAGACAGGAAAGAAGGACTAATGGAAATGGGAAACAGAGATGAAGTAGGATGAGTGTTGTAATATTGTGGGGATTGCAATCAATGGCATGAAACAAAATGTGTATGAATTGTTGAAAGGAAAGCTGATATGCTCTGCAAGTCTTCACCATATCAAAATAAAAAGTTAATAAATAAACAAATAAATAAAAGTCTCATACTGAAAAAGATAAACCAAAATACTACAATAAAGTATGTAAGGAAAATAAGAGCTACAAAAACTTTTGAAAAATTAAAAAAAGAATTATGACTCACATCATAATATATCACTTCCCTGATGCTGTTCACATTCTCAGGTTTTTAAAAATGAATACTTGTTTTAAGGAGAATAAAAGATTTGCATAAAATTAGATTTTTCTCAAAGTTCAGAGACACTTTTTATGGTGATTAAGTTTGGCTGGCCCTGGTTGAGTGGCTGGGCAGCTGGTGGTAGTAGTTATTCCCCATGGTGAGATTGGTAATTAACTCCATGATGGAATCTATTAGAGCAGCTGAGTAGCTGCTTTGGGTATGTGTTCTGCTTCCCGTATGTAAGAAACAGCTTTGGGAATGGTCTCTATCTTATGGCATGTTGAACCCTGCATGTAGCTGTGTCGTTGTTCAGCAGCCTGCCATGCTCTGCTGACCTTGGGACTTCCAATGGACTTGAATTAATGGCCTGCCATGTAGTTTGGTAACATCAGGACCGTGCCATTTTTGTTGTTGTTGTTGTTGACCTTGGGCTTGTCTGTCTCAGCAGCCAGCAGCTGTCTGAGTGAAGAAAAGCCTCAGCTCCAGTGGGCTGGGAGTAGGAGGTAGAGCTGAAGCCCGAGGTTGAGGGGCTTTCACACAGCCCCTAGAGCCTGGCACTTCAAACTCGGACTTCTAGCCTCCTAAACTGTAAATGAATAAACTTCTGTTTGTTCAAGCCATCCCATTTGTGGTATATTCTTGTCAGTGCAGTACTAGGTAACCAAAACAGAATATGGACCGGGAGTGGGGTGCTGCTCTGACAGATACCTAAAATGTGGAAACAGAAACAGAGTGTATCCTTGACCTGAGACACCAGCAGAGAGACCCCAGCATGCGACATGAAAGACGGCACCAGCAGAACCAAGAGATTGGCAGAGAGATATTTGCAGAGAGACCAGCATGAGAGACCAGAATGAGAGATGGCAGTTAACAGAGCCCAGAGACCAGCATTAAATAGCAACCGGCTTACCAACCCACAGAGGAGAAAGCCAGGTGCCATTGGGTAGGCAGCTTCCTGATGGAGTGGGTTGCCTTTGGGCATTAATTAGTAGAAGAGACTGGCATGAAATGGAGTAGCAGGTTGGCTAGCCCACGAAGCAAGAAAGCTGAGTGCTTTTGAGGCAGGAAGATTTCTGGTGGAGTGGGTTTCAGCATTAATCAGCAGAAGTGGAGAGACCAAGGAAATGGGAAGCAGAGCTGCCTCAGCGTCAGGAGTAGGACCATTACCTTTAGGGGTAGAAACACCACAGCCCCCTAGGTTTCAAAGAGCCAGACCTTCACCAACTTGGTTCTGGAGTGCAGGGCTGCTCGTTCATGTGAGCTAGTGGGATGGAGTTACAGCCACTGCCCAAGACTGAGGGGGCAGGGCGGCCATGCGTAAGAGGGAGAGGAAGGGGGCCTGCCAGGCCAAGGGGGTGAGATTGCCACTCAGGGACTAGGGGGTTAGAGCCACTCATTGAAGATCTGTAGAGGTGCAAAGTTGATGAGGGGTAGAATTGTGGTAGTTAAATTTGTGTGTCAACTTGGCTGGGCCTGGTTGAGTGGCTGGGCAGCTGGTGGTAGTTATTCCCCATGGTGAGATTGGTAATTAACTCCATGGTGGAATCTATTGGAGCAGTTGAGTAGCTGCTTTGGGTATGTGTTCTGCTTCCCGTATATAAGAAACAGCTTTGGGAATGGTCTCTAGCTTATGGCATGCTTAAACCCTGCATGTAGCTATGTCATTGTTCAGCAACCTGCCATGCTCTGCTGAACTTGGGACTTCCAATGGACTTGAATTAATGGCCTGCCATGTGATTTGGTAACATTTGGGACTGTGTCTTTTTGTTTGCCAACCTTGGGCTTATCAGTCTCGGCAGCCAGCAACTGTCTGAGTGAAGAAAAGCCTCTAGCTTCGGTGGGCCGGAAGCAGGAGGCAGAGCTGAAGCCTGAAGTTGAGGGGCTTTGACCCAGCCCCTAGAGCCTGCACTTTGAACTTGGACGTAAAGCCTCCAAACTGTAAGAGAGTAAACTCCTGTTTGTTCAAGCATCCCATTTGTGGTATATTCTTGTCAGAGCGGTACTAGGTAACTAAAACACTTTTAAACTTCATTCTATTTGTTTGACTTCGTAAGATGAACAGTTTATAATTTTAAGTAATTAGTCTACAAATGTATCTTTCTGTTGGGTGGAAAAATAAAGAAATAGAAGTGGCAAGAATACACTTTTGAGGGAAAAATAGGTATCATATTGCTGCTCCTTGCTCTGCCATTGCAGGGTGAAATTTAATATAATATCTATTTACCTTTGGTGAGTTGTTTTAACAACATAGTCACCCTTCTTCTATAGGGAAAGTAATTATCCTGGTATCAAATTCAATTAGAGTAAACCCAAAAAATTAATCAATATACCATTTTGCTTAAGCATCGTGGTGCAATGAATTACATAATACGGGTCTTGTAGCCATAGTCTTTGTGATGCATATCAGATGACTGGGTGAAACTGCAAATGTGAGGTGCTTGGGGCCCACCAAGTGCTTTGGATTGCTTGATTTGCAGCGTAAATAAGGTACATGGGCCATGCAAATAATGTGAAGATTGGTCAGTTTTGCCCTTCTGCTGAGCTTAAACTAACCCAGCCAGAGGCAGAATCGGGGTCTGACTGCCATCAGGAGAAAAGAACAGGCAGTGGAGCGTATCCTGTGACCTGAATTCACCGTGAGCCTGGGAGAGACAAGACAAAGAGATGTCACAGAGACAGTGGCAGCAGATGCAGTAGAACAAAGAGACTGGCTGGAGAAAGAGTGGAGGGCTTCCTGGCTCGTGGAACAAGCAATGTGAGCGCCTTCATGCAGGAGCCTTGCTGGTGGGTACCAAATTGTGCCCCCACTGGCAAAACTAAAAAAGCTTTATAATGCAGGCCTGAGCAGGGCAGAGGCCTGGCCAAATGGTTGAGGGCAAAAGAGAAGCTTACTTGCAGGCAGGGCCATGGGGAGTCTGGCCTGATGGAAGAATTGTATCCTAAGCATTGCTGAATCTGAATTGTAACATGTTACTTCCTTAATAAACCCCATAATCATGAGTATTGTCTGTGAGTTCTGTGTGGACATTGCAAGAAATTAACAAACTCAGCAGGGAAGTAGAGAGCGCCTTGAGAGGGATGCTTGGTGTCCGAACTGGTAAGAAGGTTGGTGGTGGCACCATGTCTGAACTCTGCCTCATAGGAATCAGCCTTGGGCTGTTGATCTTTGCAGCCCTTGTGAAGTTGGAGGTCAAAGGACACCTCCTCCACACTTTTTTTGCAAACGTGTTCAGGAAAATAAAAAAGTTTCAACATGGAATTACAGTACATGAGGAATACCTTTTATTCAAAGGAAATTTCATATGAATATTTATCAAGAACATTGCTCCTACCCCCAAACTCCACCTACAGTTTTTCTTTCTTATCTGAATTTTCAAATATTCAACTTCCTGAAAGAGGAACATATTTAGAGTTTAAAAGGCCTAAACTAAAAAGAATGACAGAATACCATAAGCAATCAACCACACTGAAAAGGATCTTTAAAATTACCCTGTTGGTTGGCTCTTTCCATAAAATCTGTGTTCCAGAAGCAGACAGAGGGCACCCAGCCGCTGAGCATATGTCATCCAGGTGAAATTGCTTGATATCCATTTCCTACTGGCAGGAGAGTTTCCTGAAATCATCAGAAACACTGGGCCTCCAGGTTCGTAGAAGGCATCATTAATGAAATATCTCTGCGAAAGTAAAAATATTCTTCAAGACCCTAACTCACCAGGCCTTGTGATCTGTTTGTGGTTTCTGATAACTGGGTGATAGCATGATTTGGTTTGTCAGGGTTATAATCCTGAGATGCCACCTAAATCAGAGAATTGCACAAGCTATTGTGCCCACTCATTGGACAATTTTATTTTTCACTTTTTGGGGGAAAATAGGCACAACATCAATGTGATCATTTCAACCATTTTCAAGAGTACATACAATTTAGTGGTAAAATCACACTCAGCCTATGCAACCATCACTACTATGTTTTTACATTCCATGCTTATCTTTGGGCTTCAAATTTAGAATGTGGGATTCTTACAGTTGGAGATACTTCCTTTTGCTCTTAACATTTGGGTTCCTAACAACATTAACATAATTATTTATTTGCTTCATTACAATATTATATAGTAACATAAACATGGTAGAAAAACTATACTGATATTTAGAAGAGCCCTTTCATGCAGTGATTGCTTGGCTGATAACAGTAAAGTCAGTGGTTCAAACCCATCAGCTGTTCCTTGGGAGAAAATATTTGGTGTATATGTGTATATATATGTGTGTGTGTGTATATATATATATATATATATATACACACACACACACACTATAATGTCAGCTTTTATTAAGGTGCCATTAACACATAATATCATATCTAATATTTACAAAGCAGTACATAAAATGCTGAAATATTCCTCACTCCTATTCAAAATTACATAGTATTTTATAGTGTGGTGATACCATAAAAATTAACCTAGTATTCTAGTGAGCAAGCTCTGAATAATCTTAATATTCTAAATTTTGCTGCAATGAATAGTTTGTGCATAGATCTTTTCATATTTCTACTAGGGTATCCTTGAGACAGAGTCTTGAGAGCAGATGTGATTTTACTAAAGATTGGTAAACTCCCCTCTAAAGAGGTTGTGCTATTTTTTCATTTCTACATGCTGTGTATCAGACTGCATGTTAAACAGTAACTAACCAAGAGAGCATGTGATCAAGCTAGAAAAGCAGTACTACGGGGCATTTCCTAACTGTGACAAAGCATTCTTCTAAGGATGCAAAAGCACAGTGAAAACTCACCTTCATAAACAGGAGACCAGAACCCAAAATGAACAAATAACGTAAAAAGATGAAACCTAAAGTGACTGAGCTAAGAAGATTAAGTAGAAAGAAAAGTTATTTACATTAATGAAGAATTTAGAGGGCAAGACATAGAAGAATTATCAGAAATAAATAAAAAAATGTTTGTGGTAGTTATGTTTTTGTGTCAAGCTGGCTGGGCCTGGTTGAGTGGCTGGGCAGCTGGTGGTAATTATTCCCCATAATGGGACTGGCCATCAGCTCCATGGTGGGATCTACCACAAGCAGCTGAGTAGCTGCTTTGGGTACGTGGTCTGCTTCCCGTATATAAGCAGTAGCTTTGGGAGTGGTCTCTAGCTTATGGCACACTTGGACCCTGCATGTAGCCGTGTCATTGCTCAGCAGCCTGCTATGCTCTGCTGACCTTGGGACTTACAATGAACATAAGTTAACGGCCTGCTGTGTGGTTTGGTAACATCAGGACTGTGCCTTTTTACGTGTCAACCTTGGGGCTTCTCAGCCCCAGCAGCCAGCAGCTGTCTGAGTGAAGAAACGTCTTTAGCTCCAGTGGGCTGGGAGCAGGAGGCAGAGCTGGACCCCAAGGTTGAGGGGCTTTTACCCAGCCCCTAGAGCCTGGCACTTTGAACTTGGACTTAAAGCCTCCAAACTGTAAGAATAAACTCCTGTTGTTAAGGCCATTCCATTTGTGGTATATTCCTGTCGGAGCAGCACTAGGGAACCAGAACAATGTTTAAATTGAATTAGAGAGAAAATTTAAAATGTGTGAAATTGACAATGGATCCTATGTGTAATTGGTGAATTGAAAGAAAAAATGAATAGGAAAGATGTATCATTCAAAAAATGTTAAAGAAAAAATAGACTGTGTCTCAAGAAAAACTAATATCCATTCATCAGCACTAAGTTGTGCCCCGGGAAATGTTATTTACTTCAAAGAAAAAGATAGGATCTTCAGATATTAGGGCAAAAAGTCACAAATAAGAAGGTATGTATTTTGCTAGACTAAACCTACTACATAAGAACATGCAATACTAGATAAGAAATTAACAATACATACATATGAACTCGGAGAAGAAAACTGAGAAGCAAGAATTTATATACCCGGATATTCAGACACAACACAAGTATTAAATTCAAAAAATATGATTCTTATAAAACTTTCTTTGAGAAGGTAGTGTGACAAAATACTACGAAAATAAAACTATTTATATATGAAGAAGCCAAAAATAACTTTGAGCTTATGATGGCTGAGCAGAATGAAAGGTTAAAATACATGAAAAGAAGAAACATATGCTAATCAAATGGGAAAATACAAAAACAAGTTTAAATTTCTTCTAGAACCTAATATCCTGGAGTCAGGGATGGTGGATGAACCCCTGAAACTGTGCTCCGAGATAATCTTTAAAACTTAAAACCAAATAGTCCCTAAAATCATCATAAAGCCAAATAATAGTTTGGTTTAACTAGTAGAGTATGTGTGCCTCGAATATCATGCTCTTTTAAGGTCAGTCTGTAGGTGATGAACGGACGATGGACTGCCAGAACCAACAAATCTGTCCTGGAAGAAGTGCGGAATGGCCCTGGAAGTGAGAATGGCCAGACTTACTCTCATCTACTTAGGACAGGCTGTTAGAAGGAACAGTTTCCTGGAGAAGGATATTATGCTTGGTAAAGTAGAGGATCATGAAGAGGGGGAAGATCTTCAATGACATGGATTGACACAGAAGCTGCAAGTTTGGGCTCAAGCATAGCAAGGATTGTGAGGATAGTGCAGGAACAGACAGTGTTTCTTTCTGTTGTACACAGGGTCGCTAGGAGTTAAAGACAATTTGAGGGCACCAAGCAACGTTATATGAGATAAAATTGAAAATACCAACTCAAAAGTTTAGAGAGGAACTGAAAAGATTAGATAGGTGCAGTGGGTTTATGTTAATGGAGGAGGAATGACTCAGAAAAAGATGGTGAGAATAGTTGCAAAACTCAAAGAATGGAACCAATGTCACTGAATTGTACATCTAGAAACTAATTGGTGTATGGTTTGCTGTGTGTATTCTCAACCACAACAACAACAAATTAAATAGACTATAAACAAAAATGAAACATAGGGCTAAAATATCACTAAAAAGTAGTAAAGTAAAGGAGAAAAGTGGACCTATGGAGTGCAAAGAGATGGAGTGTTTCATCTTTTTAAAGTCATAAATAGTCCTAAGACTCAAACAATGTATTTAATCAGTGAAAATTGAGTTTATTGAAATACCTTGTTTTGTTGATGTGACTTGGAATCATATAACTATTTAAAATAAGTATAAGACAACATTAACTGTTACAAAATATTTTCAAAATAATGAAATGAAACAAATAAGCAAAATGATATCTGATAGGTTGTGTAGTCAGTAAGACACAAACTATTCTGAGTGACTGAAAAGCCAATAATTTGACTGTACATCTTCAGTAGAATCAACTTTGTGGACAAATACATAGTAAAGTAACCTTTTATAAATCTTTCACTAATTATATTATTGGTGGCAGTATTGGTATTATTCTGAGATGTCTGTGTAATATGAGGTAAAGAAAATGAGTGATTGTGTAATATTTGAATTCTATTGTCATTCATATCCTTTTAAAATATGATGAATAAAGGGAATGAGTCAAGAATTTACAGTGTCTTTTCAATACAAATTGTGTCAACATGTAAGCAAATAAAAGATGGTGAGCTTCTGGTTTATACATACATTCTAGCTAATAAATGAAGAATGATAAAATTAATATCTTTATTTTGCAATGCCCCCCCAATTGAATTAATAGACCTATCCAGCCACTCCTTGGAAGGAAGATGGGGCAATCTACTTCTGCAGTGATACTGCCTCGGACACCCAAGGAGGGGTCGCTATGAGTCGGGCCTGACTCAATGGCACATAACAACAACAACAACAACAAGCCATTAGACATCAACAGCTTATACCATAATAAATTGAAAAAAAGACAAGTCAGACATTTCCTATAAAATTTATAAAACAAGCTGCTAAAATCTGCGAAGTAGTCTTGCTCCCCTTCTCTCACAAAACAAAAAACCTGAGTTTGATCAATCAACTAGTTTCACCAAACAATTTACTGACAAATTATGGAATTATGAAAACAAATCAAACAAAAAATATCTGAAAATGGTCCTCCAGACCTAAATGGTTCGGCAAAGGATGGCATGTCAGCACCATGCAATGTCTCCAAACAAACAAACAAAACTCTTCACCATCAAGTCGGTTCTGGCTCACAGTGAGACCATGAGTGTCAGACAGGACTGTGCTCCATGGGGTTCTCAAGGCAGTGATCTTGAAGAAGTACGTCACCAGGCTTTTCTTCTGAGGTGCCTTATCTGGGTTTAAACCACCAAACCTCCTATTTGTATTTCAGTGCTTACACATCAGCACCACCCATGAACTGAAAACATGCCCCATCTATTCTGTACCTCCTGGACTTCTGTGGCACCTCTCAAGGCCTTAAGCTCATGCTATCCCTAGCTGTCATCACCTGCCATGATCATTATTTTTTACCTGCTGCCATGATGATGATGAACGATTTCTGTTAAAATGGTCAAGCTTTTGCTCGAACCAGTGATCAGTAGGATCCATTGTTGTATTCACTGTGTCACCCTGAGTCCATCTCTGGAGGAAACTCTGGGCACAGGAACAGAAAAGCAGTAGAAGTAGTGTCCGTAGAAGCCACCCAATTGCTCTGGCCATGGTCCTCTCATGAGAAGTAGTTTCCTGGTGGGGCTATTTGTACTGCAATTACTGCCCACCTTGCAGCAAAAATGAAAAGCATCAATATTAGATCTTGGACCCTGGGGCTGCATTATGGTATCTCTCCCTAGAAACGTGTATATAACCATCTACCCCACCTACTTACACTATGGGGATGTTTAAGTAGAAAAGGTCAAATGGGGAGGGATAAGGATACCTGTTAGTTGCTTTCCATTGCACCTGTTAAGATAGAAATCCTGGGATCATGGCCTTAAGGAAATAACTAATTTAGGAGCCAAGGGTCAGAGTGAGAGATGCCGTGAAACTCATGCTGTATTGAATAATTTCCTTGTCACTGATTCCTCACTCTAGTGGGTCCTCTAGAAAGACTCCAAGACTTCACACATGACAAAATAAATGCCCAGATTTCCAACTAGTATGATGTCTCTGCAGAAACCCAAGCATTTAAAGATCTAGTCATGGATTAAGACCCCTGTTCCCTGTAATTCTCTCATTATGGAACTGCTGCTGCTATTTCTATCTTATCCTAATCTTCATCACCACCCCATTCAGTGTCACTACCACCATGAACAGATGACCAAACCTACTGGCCTCCTGGAGAGAGAAGGATGCACCATCACTGTTTAGTTTCAACATATCTTGGAGCAAAAATAAGAATGCAAAATCAGAATTAAAAGAGAGAGGAGAGAAAGGCATAGGATGAATAGTCTGGGAGTGCTTTAAGTCAACACATGTCTATCAGTGTGGAAAAGAAGGGTTTAAAATGGTGAGAGGAGGTGGGAAAAAGAAGGACGGGTGTCGTGAGTGCTCAATGGCATTTTTCCATGCCTGGACCCCAAAGTGTAATTAACACCACTGATTTTGATGCCAGACTGCTTGTTTTTGAAGGTCCAACTCATGGGAACCTCGCATGTAATAGAACAAAACATTGCTGGATCCTAAACCATTCTTGTAATGTTTGGGATATTTGAGTCCATTGTTTTAGCCACATGTCATTCCAGCTCATGGCAGACTTCCTTAACTTGGCTGACACTACTAAACAAGATGTCATTTTCTAACTATTGTTTTTTCCTGATGATGTGTCCAAAGAAAGTGTAATGACATCTTCTCATCTTCTGTAGCTGCCAAGGAACATTCTATCTGTGCCTTATATGTTCTGTGTCCACTATTATACCCTCTCTTCACTTATAAACTATCTCATTATTCCATGTTTTGCATGTACAATCTTGTAAGAAATCAACTATTCAACTGTTTTGCGCATTCTTGACACATCAGGTAGTAACTGATACTGAAATGTGAAGCAAAAACAATGCTTCTAGTGATGGTTACAGTTATGTGTCAATTTTCTAGGCCATGATTTTCAGTAGTCTGGAAGTTATATAATGGTGTAATTAGTTATGTAATTATGTAGTCATCTTCCTTTTGTAATATGATGTAGTCATCCTCCATCTTTGCTTATGCCCAGTTTTCCACAATATTCTTTTATTTGGAAACTAATCATGTGGACAAGTGAGGAGTGGGTGTCTAATGTTGCTATTCTGTGACAATTCTCTGGTCCTGGTTGCTTCCTCAAGGAGTCCAGGTGGCAAAACAGTTAAAGTGGTGACTGGAAACCGAAAGATCTATCTATGGCTAGAACTCATCAGAAGCTCTATGTTCATATGTTTGTGCATTTGTTTGATTTTCAGTTGTGGGAAGTGATGTCTTCAGATGAGCCTTGTGAAGTGCCAGCTAAGTTTTGGTGTGAATCTTTTACACAGAAGTAGTGCTATTTCCAATACTTAGATCTCTCAATCAAGAGAAAGAAGCAGGTAGAAATTTAATTCTGATGACTTACCAGAAGAACATGTGAAAGTTTTGCTTGTAAATGAATTTTTTAAAAATTAACGACTCCAGGGTTTGGCTATTTTCCCCAAAGATATCATAATAAAGCTGGTCTATCAAATAAGTGGATAGCTCCACCAGAAACTCCTTACTTTCTCTGTGATATCTATCCTATATTCCAGATTTATTGATTTTTATTTTCCCCTATAAGGATAAGAATGTCATTGAGTTCTTAATTTCAATGCTTGTAAGTTCTTCTAACAAAATAAAACAGAAAAATAGGGGGAAAAATAAAGCAAATGAGAAGTTATGTGCGTTTTGGGCAGATACTACACAAGGACGTCCTCTATGACACAGCGGTATCATAAAGTTCAACACCATTAAATAGTTAAACAATTAAACACCATTGAAAGGGAGTGTGCAAAGGTTAAATACCACAAAATTGAACTAAGAGTGCTTATTGTAATACACCATCACCCTTGTGTCAGTGTGTCATACTGTAGCAGCTTGAAAGATGCTATGATGCAGAATCCATGCCATTGATATTTCAAATACTAGCAGGATCACTCATAATTGACAAGTTTCAGTGGAGCTTAACACTAAGAAAGACTAGGAAGAAAGGATTAGTGATCTAAGTCAGAAAACAAGCCAATGAAAACGTTATGGATCACATCAGTGTATCACCTATGTGCTAGAAGATGAGCCTGTTGAAAGACAATGTACAATGGCCCCAGTAAAGGTCTCACACATGCCAATAATCATGAGTATGGCTCATGACTGAGCAATATTTCAATTTTTTTATACATAAGGTCCCATGAGTTGGAGTCAACTCAACAGCAACTAACAACAACAACATTCAAATAAGAATCTTGCTGTTGTTAGGTGCTGTTAAGTTGTTTAGAACACACAGTAACACTGTGTACAATAGAATGTAACACTGCCTGACCCTGCATCATTCACACAATCATTGCTATGCTTGAGTCCATCGTTGAAGCCACTAGTCAATCTGTTTCACTGAGAGACTTACCCTTTTTCCCTGACCTGCACTTTACAAAGCATGACATTCTTTTCCAGAGTCTGGTCACTTCTGACAACAGGACCAAAGTATGAGAGACGAATCTGGACTTTCTTGCTACAAAAGAACATTCTGTCAGTACTTCATCCAAGACAGATTAATTAGTTCTTCTAGCACTCCATCGTAAGTACACTCTTCTTAGGCAACAGGACAATTCAAATGCAGGAATTCTTCTGTAGTCTTCATTGTTCAGCTCTCACATGCATATGAAGCTATGGAAGAAAACATGGGTTGGGTCAGGCAACCTTACCTTCAGAGTTACATTTTTGTTCTTAAACACTTCCAAGTGTCTTTTACAAAAGATTTGCTAAGTGCAAAATGTTGTTTGAATTCTTGCCTTGCTGGAATCAAGTAAAATGAAATTCTTGACAACTTTAAACTTTTCTCTGCTTATCATGATGCTGCTTATTGGTCCATTTGTGATCATTTTTGTTTTGTTTATGTTGAGGTGTAATCTATAGTGGAGGCTATAATCTTTGATGTTCATCAATAAGTGTTTTAAGTCTTCACTTTCAGCAAACAAAGTTGTGTCACCTGCATATCGCAGGTTAATGGTGAGTCTTACCTGATCCTGAAGCTGTGTTTTTATTCATGTAGTCCAGCTGCCCAGGCACTCAAAACCAAGCCCAGGCAAGTTGACACATCACATTAACTACCACAGGTACAATGGAGTTAGCTCTGACTCATAGAGACCCTAAGTACAACAGAACGAAACACTCCCTGGTCCTGCACCATTCTCACATTTAATACATTTAATACATCATTATGGCCACTGTGTCAATCCAAGGATTTTCACCTTGTTTGCTGTCCCTCTACTTTACCAAGCATGATATCCTTCTATAGGGAATGGTTCCTTCTAACAACATGAACAAAGTAGGTGAGATGAAGTCTGGCCGTTCTCGCTTCCAAGAAACATTCTGGCTGTACTTCTGCCAGTACAGATTTCTTCATTCTTCTGATGGTCCATGGTATTTTCAGTATTCTTTGCCAACACCACAATCCAAAGGCATCAACTTTTCTTCAGTCTTTTTGTTCATCGTCCAGGTTTCATATGCTTATGAGGAAATTGAAAATATCTTGGCTTGGGTCAATCACACCTTGGACTTCAAAGTGACTTCTTTCTTAACACTTTAAAGAGGTCTTCTTTAAAAAAAAAAAAAAAAAAAAAATTCTTGTGATGTGGGTGAAAGTTTACAGAGCAAGTTCATCTTCCATACAGTTGTTCACATATACTTTGTCTTATGACATTGACTGTAATCTCCCAAAATGCAACAGTTTTCCTCCCACTTCCTCCCCATAGCCCCTTTTTCCCTGTGTCCTTCCCTCCCATGCAGTCCTACCCCTGCGAGCTGTCTCCCTGTGTATACACAGCCCTTCTATTCTCCCATGATTGATCTCTCCAAGGAGTGTATCTACCTAATGTAAATGTTCAGCTCATATGTCTGTCCTTTGGCTGGAAGCCACAGAAGTGGGTTCAATTCCAGACCTGAAAGGAAGCTAGGGGCCATAGTCTCAGTGGTTCCACCAGACTCTATCAGATCAGCAAACCTGTCCCCCCCCCATTTTTTTTTTTTGTTGTTATTGTTTTGTTTTTTAATGATTTAGAGTTTTGTTCCACATTGTTCTCCCACTCTATCCAGGAACTCCTACAGAGATCCCCCTCCTAGTGATTTGCAGTGATAGCCAGGTACCATTTAGTTCTTCTGGTCTCATCGTTCTCAAAGTCATATAGGCTGAGGATCACACAGTGTACCAGTCTGTTGGGCTAATTGTTTCCATGCATTTTTTGTTTTCTTCATTCTTATTTGCTCTGGAGAAGGAGAGATCCATCATTGCACCTCAATGGCCACTTGCAAGCTTTTCAGATCCCAGTAGCTACTCACCAAAGTAGGATATAGAACAATGTTTTGTGTAGTATTTATGCCAATTGAGTTTGATGTCCCCTGTCACATGGTCCCGAGCTCACAAG